TTTATCAGAATTCTTTATTAGTAATTTCTCCTTCTTCAGATTTTGATGTTTTTTGTGTTGATCAGATTTCCTCAAATTCTCATTTTAATTCCATCGTTTTTACATTTGTCTTTGAAAATTTTTACATTATCACAATCGTTTATGTTTTTATTCTTATTTATTCATTATTTTTATTATTTTTATTTGTTTGTTTTTATTCTTCACTGCCATTGATGTTTCCAGTAAGTTTTTAAACTACATAAATAAACATTCTCGAATTCCAAAGTGACCTGTTAAACTCTGGAAGAATACATATAATTTTTTTTCACTTTATATACTTTATGTAAAGAAAGTCCTTTTTTTTTTTTTTTTTTTCTCATTAGATGTTTTTTTTTTACTCATTAGATGTTTTTTTTTTACTCATTAGATGTTATTTTTTTACTCATTAGATGTTATTTTTTTACTCATTAGATGTTTTTTTTTTACTTTTTTTTTTTTTTTTTTACTCATTAGATGTTATTTTTTTACTCATTAGATGTTTTTTTTTTACTTTTTTTTTTTTTTTTTACTCTTTTACTCATTATGGTTAATCATCATAGTCCTTCATCATACCGCAACATGGTAATCATCTCATCATTGCTTCAAATATGCGTTCATCATGTTCAATTTTCGAGTTTGTAAACATCAAATTTGTCTTTTTTTATTGTTTACCCTCGGCTCTTCTTCCTTGTTTTGTTTGCTTGTTTTTTTGTTTGTCTGTCGGTTTGTTTGGTTTGGAGTTAGATGTTTGTTTATATATTCGTCTTAGGTCTTTGTTTTTTGTGTCTTGTTTTGGGCTTTTTAGAATTTTTCGTTCTTTTACTGCACTGGAAAGTATATATCATTTGGTGAATTATGAATTACTGTGGTAATTTAGAGTCTTTTAAATCATATAGATCATTTTTTTTTATTAATTTGTCAAAAAGGGTTATATATATCTGTGTTTGTTTGTGTGTGTGTGTGTGTGTGTATGCATATTCATATATATATATATAAATATATATGTATGTGTTTGTAGATATATGTGTGTATATGTGCACGCACACAGTCACACACACACACAAACAAACACAGATATATATATGTGTGTGTGTGTGTTGTGTGTGTGTGTGACTGTGTGCGTGCACATATACACACATATATCTACAAACATATACATATATATTTATATACATACATACATACATGTTCTAATTCTAATGTTAGTCTAAAATAATTAATTATTGGTAGTTTTTCTTGTAATCTTATGAAACTAAAGATCTCTCGTTTTCTCTTCACAGGTGTCCTCGCGGAATGATAGTGAAACCTGGAGTGCACCGACCGCAGACTTTCATCACGCGAAGTCTCCTTGGCCGTTCTCCTTACTCCATGAAGAATTTGTGAAAAGAAAAGAAAAGAAATAATAAGAAATAAAAGTGCATGATTGGTTTATGGATTGGATTAGACTTTGATGAGATTCTTCCTTTGTTTACATACGTGAGAATTTGCATATTCCATCTGTGGATTATCCTAATTACCGTTAAGTACAGTCCATATATGGGTAAAGTAGTACAGAGTACAGTAAGATATAATGCACTACTGTGAAATTAATGGAATAATATAGTACTGTGAAATTAATGGAATAATATAGTACTGTGAAATTAATGGAATAATATAGTACTGTGAAATTAATGGAATAATATAGTACTGTGAAATTAATGGAATAATATAGTACTGTGAAATTAATGGAATTATATAGTACTGCGAAATTAACGGAATAATATAGTACTGTGAAATTAATGGAATTATATAGTACTGTGAAATTAATGGAATAATATAGTACTGTGAAATTAATGGAATAATATAGTACTGTTAAATTAATGAAATAATATAGTACTGTTAAATTAATGGAATAATAAAGTACTTCGTATAACTTCGTATAATGTATGCTATACGAAGTTATTACGATATAATATAGTACTGTGACATTAATGGAATAATAAAGTACTTCGTATAACTTCGTATAATGTATGCTATACGAAGTTATTACGATATAATATAGTACTGTGAAATTAATGGAATAATATAGTACTGTGAAATTATTGGAATTATATAGTACTGTGAAATTAATGGAATGATATAGTACTCAATATGGTGATAGAGTACTGAAGTTTATATTGGCTCTTCAAAAAAAAACTCACTCAAATTAAATTCAGATTAAATCCAAATTAAGTAATTATCTGATTACGTCATAATCATACAGTCATACTTTCCACGGGGTAATTGGCTCGGTTTCTGGACTATAATTTCGCCCAATCATACATCTGTACTCTATGATTACGTACATGTACTATAATTACAAGGTAGCCATTTCCGTCACATCTGCTATACACATGTTTATTATCTATAACTGTATGATTTATAGAAAATTATATACTGTAATGTCTGATATATGTATTTTCTGTGTACGATTTATGTAATTTATGGCCGCCTTGATTACTTATTTGTATCACTATATATTAATTTGTAAGTTATGATGTTTTATGATCAGCTGTTTTTTTGTTATATTCATCTACAGCGGAAATGTATCTGAGGATAATTAGTTCGTTAAAGTGAACACTTGAAGGTTGAACAGTCTCACTTCTGCAACAGATTGCAAAATTGCTCTTTATTGTTATTTTATTATTTTTTTATGATTTATTTCATATTAGTTTGATAATAATTTCTGTAGTTGTAGTAGTAGTAATAGTAGTGATAACGACCATGATAATAGTAAGATAATATTAATGATAATGAGAATTATGATGATGATCATCATCATAGTAATAATAATGATGATAATGATGATGATCATATTAGTAATTAATGATAGGAATAGTAATAATGATATTGTTATTATAGTTGATATCATCATCATCATTATTATTATTATTATTATTATTATTATTATCATTATTATTATTATTATTACAGTGGAACTTCTTATAAAAGGCACTTCCTTGACTTGGCACTTCATCTAATAGACGGGTTTTCTCCGGTCCCGACCCACGCTCATGTAATTTCCTATTAACGGAACTACCTAGACCGAGCACCTCCCGTCTCCGGCCATCGGCAGCCAAATCCCGGTCCCGATTAGCCAATCAGATTCCCGAAATCGGCGGCGGGATTCTGAGGAAGACGACGGCAGCGGCGACGAAGGCGAGGAGAAGGAAACGATCAGAGAAGCGAGAGAAATGACGGAGTGACTTCCGGACTTCTTTCTGCGCGAGAATATATATGTCAGACTAGGTGAAGGTGACGACACAGGTGAACAATTCTTTACTTGGAGAAGTCGTGTCATTCTCCCGGCAGGTTGATTTTTTTTTTTTTTTTTTTTTTCTCACGTGAACAGGTGATTAATCTTGGACAATCTCTACTTCAACAACTTCGCGTAATCCTCTGGTCAGACTGAGTTGATGTCTTGTTTCCACTCGTATAGAATTTTTCTTGCTAATGCTTTTTTTTTTGTAAATATGGTTTTGAAATTGCAAGTCTTTGGCAAGTCAAGTGCCAAGAGTGCGTGTTTTCACTCATTTTTCTGGTCAATTTTATAATGCTATTTTTTTTATTTTATTTTATTTTTTTTATTTTTTATTTTTCATTATTATTATTTTTCTTTTGTACATACATGGAATACATGTTAATAAATGTGTACATACACTATAACTATGACTCCCTGTCTTCCTGGTCGCATTCGGCAGCTTCTCGAAATTGGCACTTTTGGGCGGGTCCCTTGAGGTGCCAAGTCCAAGAAGTTCCACTGTATTATTATTATTATTGTCCTTCCTGCTGTTGTTTTTTGCTGTTACTGCAAATACATAACATGCCAGCGAATTTCGTATGTTCATGTTGTTTAGATTTCATTGTTTGTAATGCAGATCTTATGATTTGCTCAAATCGGATTTAGGACATTTGTGCTTATATTATAATTACATAATCCTCTTTTATGAAGTTATTACAATTAAAAGATTAATTTCCAATCAAATTTATTTCAGATGAAAATCGCCTACTTATCTGATTGGAATGAAATGATAAATCCAGTTAATTACCCGTTGATATAGAATAAATACAAGGTGACATTAGCGTTTAAAACCAAAGTAACTTTTTTTTGCAATAACCCGGGAACGTGTGCAGACTGATTGCAATAAGTGAGATTGCAAGATTGGAAATACGACAAGTGGAATGTGGATAAAATCAGCTGTTTATGCGTCTATTGGTTGATGTGAAGTGCTTTGTGCTTTGAAAGGAAAGAGACAAAGAGATGGTTGGTTTTTCTCAAGTGGTGCGTACTAGAAATCAAAGGAAAAAATCCTGGTATGTATTCTACTTGAATATAACTTGAAGGTGAATTTTTTTTTCTTTTTTTTTTGGTGCGTAAGAAAGTTGACGAAAACGGTATAATAGATTCAAGAAAATAGATAGATATAAGACTTGTGAATTCTTCCTTGGCGAAATCGGAAACGAACTTCAACGAAAATAGACCCAAAACGTTTCGAAAGTTCAAGAGGTTCTCGGATTCACGAAAAATTCTCGGCGTTTTCTCTCCCGTTCTTGGCTTTCTCCTCTCTCTCTGTGTCTCTGATCTTTCTTCCTACTTCTTCTCGTCCTTCAGTCTTTATTGGATTTTTTTTCCCTTTTCTTCCTATTCTTTCTTTCGTTTGTCTTTTCACGACTTCCCCTTTTGCAAGGCTCCGACGCCCTCCCCTTCCCTCTACCCCCCCCCCTAT